CAGTGACGTCTTGACAACCACAAATGTTTTCCAGTTACTTCGAAATAGAATAGAAAAAACTTAGGTTTGCTATGAAGGTTAAGGAATAAAATAATAATAGATTGAGTTTATTTCGAGGATTTCATGAAATAATAATAAATGAACATATGAGCAGAAATGCCGAGGTTTCAAGATGGACGAACATGGGTGACTATAGTGAATCGAATTTATTTTATAAACTTTATAATAATTGGAGTGCGCCACACTTTTCAGATCCATCCAAAATTGTAGCGGCGTCAGAATCCTATTTGGCATACACAATAAAATCCGGAACCAACTTATAATTTGCTGATAATCCCATCTTCCCGAACGAGATTAATTTCAATACTAAGACAGGCCTGTTTGCCCTGAGCGAGGCTCAAAACTTGAACTTCGACGGACGCCTTTTGTTCGTCGCGTCATCGTCGCCGTACCACTTTTTCGAATTGAGATTCATCACATCAAATATTAGGTTTCTACTAATCTTACTTTCATCTCAAAACACCAATGACGGCGCGGGACACATTTGGCCCGCACTTCACAAGGAAGAGATTCGTCTGGTCAAGCTGTGCCTCCATTCCTTGTCCCTAATCTGACCATAGTCATTACTTGACAGGAAAAATAATGCACTTGTTACTAATAATGGAGTTTGGGTGAGGTTATAACTTATGAAGAAAATAGTAAAAAAATGGGTATATGTGCATACAACGGCGATCGTGGATGTGTTGGGAGCAGCAATTTCAGTAATTTTCGAAGGGTTTCAAATATCAAAGCCAAGCTGCCAAATGGTGCTACAGCGAACAACTGAGCTGAATAAACCGTCAAAGCCCGAAAACTGAGACCATCACTCTGCTCGTTCACTTTGTGTTAAGGGATAAATACTCAATCCGTCTAGTTTCTGTCTAAAGGCACTTGCGAAGCGGAAAATAGATTACCTTTTTGTTCTGATCTTATAATAATACAATTACAAATTAAAAATTAAAAATCACTGTATAACGTGGAGCATGAAATCTTTACTGTAAAAATTACAACTTTATTTGGATGAGTTCGCGTCTCGGATGCTGGCCGTTGGGGTGAATGGGCATCTTCAGAATATAAGAGACAGCAAGATCACAAGATATGCCCCTTAGAGCTTCATTCGCTTTCAAAACGAAAATCGAACGCCAATGATAATAATGCCGCGAATTTCGATAAACGGAATTAGGGGCGGAGCGGTTCCGACGAGGCAGGTTCCGGGAAAGGTTCAAGTTTGGAGTCTAACTGCGTTGCCATGAGAATGCCACACTTACTACCCTTGCCGACTGACTACCGCCTATACTGATGCTGACCTTTTTATCGTTCACACTAACTTGGGAGCAGCAGCTTAGCATTTTTTCCACGAAGAAAAGAGCCATGAGAAACTAGCCTAATTGTCATATTATTCTTAAATTAAAACAAGAACTAAAATCCCTTTGTCTCTGCGGACTTGAAGGCAGGAATTAGGATTATATTGGCGGTTAATTCCACCTCAAATGTGAAAGTAGGGATAGGAGTGGACCGTCAGTGAGCACCAGCGCTTCGAGCTTTGATTAAGGAAATTCTTTAGAAAGTATGGGGTTCGGGAATGAGCGAGATCGTCGTATGGGAATTCAAGGCATGGAATGCAGAATCCCTGTAGAAATATGTGTCGTTGGAAAAGTTTCATGGGAAGTTTCAGAGCTCCATGGAATTATGGAGTTCAGGTGGAGTTGTTACACATTCCTCGGTTATAGCTCGAACGCTCGGCGGAATTTTGGGAGTGCAAGCAGGATATTGAGGGCAGTAGGTGATCGTCCACGACTGTGTACTTGATCCATTTCTTTTTTTCTAGACTGTTCCTTTGTTCTGGAAAACCCGCATCATCGAGGATCCAAAATAGAATTCGAAGAATGTCCTCGTACCTTTTTAGAAGGAGAAACCGACATGAAAGCCCTGGTTTAAAGGATGATTCCACGATAAGAACGACGGTCAAAGAAGGCGATCCGAACACGCAATCCGCATCGAATGATATGCCTTCGGCGACCAATATGGCCTTCCCTTTGGCGCAGTTGCTGGGACTCGACTATCTAATCACTCGCCGCAAGTTTATATGTGGTGAGTGATTGGATAGCAGAGAGAGCGTAGTGTTGAAGAGGGCACAGCGATGAGAGTCGCATCAATGCGCAAATCAACGGGCAGGGAAGGGGTCCCATTTCTCGGGTTTCGGGCATTTCACATGGTTTCTCCTTCATCCCTGCTCCACTGACCACCTCTAGACTTTTTTCTAACTTTTCATCATAAGTCGGGTCACGGCACGCCTATCCTCTCGTCGTCTCAATCTGCCAGAAATAGCATTAGCGTTGAAGAGGGCAGACCGATCAAAGTCACATCAATCCTGAAATCGTCGAGCAAGGAAGGGTTTCCCATCTGGTCTTTCCACAACGTTCTTCAATTTTTTTCGACCGCGCACCACTGCTTCTACATGTTCTATACATTGCTTTCTCACTTTAAGTTCTTGTCTTTAAAGGCAAACCCCGGGATTGGCCCCGACTAGTAGGAGGGATACCACTAGGGAAATTGCAAGGTCTGTAACTACCTAGATCACTCCAGCTTCGTCGCGAAAATTGCGCGGTTAGGGCGCTATTCCTTACGGGCCGGCAACCATCGAACCCAATTCCCCACCCACCGCGAGATGTGGTGAGATCAGCGTGCATTGATGTAGAGATCAGCGTGCTCTCTCAAACGACGTGCTCTCTTGCGTATTTTGCCTTCTTTGACCACCCTTTCTCGACATCGTACCATATTCCGACTACTCGGTAAAAGCTGTTAGAGCACCGGTTAGCGTTCGCAAAGATGTTTCTTTGCTTTCCTTCCCACTTTCAGGTCGTTCTGCAGCTAAGGTATTACTACAAAGCGCTGATAGCACTAGATCAATCCCGGAGTTTGCCTTTGAGTTCAAAACAATCAAATGTTGGTATTGGTTTAGAATTCGGGGAAAAAGATACAGCTAGGACTAGTGCCCAATGACCCTTTTTTCTCGCGGGAGAGATGGTAAGGATTTGGAAAATGGACGGAGGCACAATTATGTGCCCTGCGCTGGCATGAATGTTCCGAGCTAAGAGTGAAATTAGCGTACTTAAAAATGCACAACGATCGAAATCTCAACTTCGCGGAAAGTGGTGTCGACAATGACGGGATGGAAAACTCCGCGATTTACATTTCAAGCCTCAGGCAAACAAGCCTTTCATCTCTTTGTATTCAAGTTACTCGTACCAGATCTTGTTTGGGAGGATGAGAGTTATAAATTACAACAGCTGCCCTGCAACCTCCTGTGTATGTCAGTTTGGATTCAAGACACCACTACAATTTTGGATTAATCTGAAAGTGTGGCGCATTCTA